GTTTTTTGGTAGAGTCTACAGGGTTCTCTATGTACACTATCATGTCATCTGCAAACAATGATAGTTTTACTTCCTCCTTTCCTATTTGGATGCCTTTTATCTCTTTCTCTTGTCTGACCGCTGTGGCTAGGACTTCCAATACGATGTTGAAAAGAAGCGGTGAGAGCGGACATCCTTGTCGTGTTCCCGATCTTAGTGGGAAAGCTTTCAGTTTTTGCCCGTTGAGTATGATATTGGCTGTAGGTTTTTCATATATGGCCTTTATTATGTTGAGGAATGCCCCATTGATTCCCATTTTGCTGAGTGTTTTGATCATAAATGGGTGCTGTACCTTGTCAAATGCTTTTTCTGCATCTATCGAGATGATCATGTGGTGTTTGTCTTTTCTTTGATTTATGTGGTGTATCACGTTTACTGATTTGCGTATATTGAACCATCCCTGCATCCCTGGGATGAATCCCACTTGATCGTGATGGATAATAGGTTCAACGCAATCCCTATTAAGATACCAATGACGTATTTCACAGAAATAGAACAGACATTTCAAAAATTTATATGGAACCATAAACGACCTCGAATAGCTGCAGCAATTTTGAGAAAGAAACACAAAGTAGGAGGGATCACAATACCGGACATCAAACTCTACTACAAAGCCACTATACTCAAAACAATCTGGTACCGGCACAAGAACAGACCCATAGACCAATGGAACAGAATAGAAAGCCCAGAAATAAGCCCAGGTCTCTATGGACATCTAATATTTGACAAAGGGGGCAGAAGCATAAAATGGAGCAATAACAGCCTCTTCAACAAATGGTGTTGGGAGAGCTGGATGGCTACATGCAAAAAATTGAAATTGGATCATCAGCTGACACCATACACAAAAATAAACTCAAGATGGATAAAAGACTTAAATATAAGTCGCAACACCATCAAAGTCCTAGAGGAGAACATTGGCAGGAAACTCTCAGATATCCCACGCAGCAATTTTTTCACTGATATGTCTCCTAAAGCAAGGGACATAAAGGAAAGAATAAACAAGTGGGACCTCATCAAAATAAGAAGCTTCTGCACGGCTAAAGAAAACATCAGCAAAATGAAAAGGGAGCCAACCATTGGGAAAATATATTTGCTAATGATACATCAGATAGAGGTTTGATCTCCAAGATATACAAAGAACTCACTCGACTTGACTCCAAGAAGACAAACGATCCAATCAAAAAATGGGCAAAGGACCTGGGCAGACGCTTTTCTAAGGAGGAGATACAGAGGGCCCAGAGGCATTTGAAAGGATGCTCTGCATCACTAGCCATTAGAGAAATGCAGATCAAAACCACCATGAGGTACCACCTCACACCGGTCAGAATGGCCATCATAAACAGATGCACAAACAACAGGTGCTGGCGAGGCTGTGGAGAAAAGGGAACTCTAGTCCACTGTTGGTGGGAATGCAGACTGGTGCAGCCACTATGGAAAGCAGTGTGGAATTTCCTCAGAAAGCTGAAAATGGAACTGCCTTTTGATCCAGCGATTCCCCTGCTGGGACTCTACCCTGAGAACACCAAAACGCCAATACAAAAGAACCTATGCACCCCAATGTTCATAGCAGCACAATTTACAATAGCCAAGTGTTGGAAGCAACCTAAATGCCCATCAGTAGATGATTGGATCAAAAAATTATGGTACATATACACAATGGAATACTACGCAGCAGAAAGAAAAAAGAAGTACTAAACTTCGCAACAGCATGGATGGAACTGGAGAGCATCATGCTAAGCGAAATAAGCCAGGGGGCGAAAGACAAATACCATATGATCTCACCTATAAGCGGAACCTAACCAACAATGCAAAGAAGCAAGGCAAATATGACCAGCAACACTGAAAGGAAAAGAAATCAACAGAGACAAGAGGGAAGGGGGGGGCAGGGAAAGGGAAGGGAAGGGGAAAGTCAAGGAACATATAGCAAGGACTCATGGACAAAACCAAAGGGGAAGAGCTGAGGGAGGGAAGGTGGGAGGGGGCAAGGGAAAGAGGGGGGGGGAAGGCAGAGACAAATGTATTTAAAAAGTAAATAAATTAATTAAAAAAAAAAGAGATCACAGCAGAAATCAATGAAATAGGAAAATTTTTGAGAAAATAAATGAAAGCAAAGTTGGAAAAAAAAAAAAAAGAAGAAGGCAGATCATAGTGGGTAGTCATGCCCCAGACATATAACTTATTTAGTAAAAGGTTATCTTTGCCTTAAGCAAGCCTGTTCATCATTGTTTTTGTGCATCTAGATGAACGCATTTTTGAAAGCCTCTTGTTTTAGACCATTCAGAAGCATTACTACCTTTAAGAGAACACATAATTACAAGATACATCTTGTAATTAAATCTCTACATTGCTTTCTCTGACTTTTATGTAATATTCCTATCATTCCCTCTTTAATTCCAAATGCAAAATAAAATAAAATAAAATAAAATAAAATAAAAAACTTCAAACTGCCATTCTTGGAAGCATTAGTCTAATTCTGTTGAGCTCTTGCTTCCAGGTTTATCCTCTCTTCGGCTCAAATAAATTTTTATTTTAAATAAATTCTTTACAGATTTGGACATTGTTTATGTTAACATTTACTTGGTGAACTCAGCAGAATTCCAAAGAAACCCACCCAGAACCACCCTGCGCACCATACCCTTGTGCTAGGTACCAGCAGTGGCTCATTGTGCTTCACGTAAATTGAACTTGGGTGTGTTTCTCTCAGAATCCTGGGTCTCCATGCTTTAAGAGGACTATGCATTTTTATTTAAGTTGTTCTTACAGTATCCTCAAGGTGGTTAAGGGTTGACATAACCCAGGGAAAGGGAAAGATGGGTTGCTGCTTTTGATTTTGGCTTTTTACTGGATTGCTTACTGAGAGTCTAAACAAAATATTTGCTGGTTAAATGAAAGACTAAGTTCTTTTTTAGTTCTGAAAGAGAAAGGACAGTTGCTTCCCCAACTCAAATAGTCAGTGGAGTGATTGTAGTTGTTGCAGATTTTCAAATATGGAGAGGTGAACATAGGCTTTATGAGGCGCCCACTGTGGTAATACAGCCTATTCTGGAGAAGTCTGAGGGAGCCCCAGGGAGAGTTGTTTGTTTCTTGTGAAGGGCAGAGCACAGTAGAATAGTTTCACCTGAAGAGACAGGCCCATGCCTTACAAACATAGTGGTTCAGGCAGTGCCACATAAGCGCTTGCTGGCTCCAATATTCTTAGGTGATTAAGAATATTTATGTGGTTGCCTGAGAAAAAATTACCTCTAGGACATAAATCACTCCTATAGGGATATTCACTGCATTTGGGTTGTCAGGGGATGTTCATGTAAAAGCTGGTTTTCCCTAGAAGTTTGTTCAGACTCTACAGATCTCAAGATTAGCATGGGAAATCAGGCCTCTGATTTCAACAAGACCTACGAGAGTCATACTCTTATTAATGCTAAGGTGGCCAAAATGAGGATCCTTTGATATTTCTGAACTAATCTTTTGTGCACACAATTAGAAAGAGCCAGCTGTATTTTAATTGGTCGATCAAAGCTTCAAAAGATTTAGATAAAATGGATCAACCTATGATGTTCTTTAGGTGACAACCAATTCCTTCAGGTATTAAAAATGACTATCCTCATCATCCCAGAATGCCAAGTTTGCAGGTTTCATCCACAGTCAGGACACATATAAGAATTAACCAAAGAATGCACAAATAAGTGGAACAAATCAAATTTTCTCTCTCTCTCTCTCTCAGCCCCTCTTTCTCGCTTCCTTCCTCTCTTTCTAAAATCAATAAATAAACAATATTTATATAAAAGATATTATACAGATTTAAAAACAAATAAAAATGACTGTTCTTATTTTAAAAGGAGGAAGGTTACTTGGAACTTGACTTGTCAAGAGTGGATACAAAAATGTAAATGCCTCCAAAACAAAATTTTGATCCAACTGTTCTTTGTTTATGTCTGCTGTGTATGTCTATATGCACATGTTGCAAATGTGAGATAATTTTCTATCTCAAGATGGTATTAAAACTAATTTACAAGCAAGTGCTTTAAGGATTCAGCATTTTAAAAGTCACATAAATATAGAAACTAACTCAAATGCTTTCCAAGCTCACATAATCTAAGATTAATACTTAGTAAATAAAAGTTAGTTTGTTGTTTCAAGTAGAACAACAGTGTCTTTTGAGTTATTGATGTTGCATAAATATACTTTATCCAGCTTTACAAAATTAGTCCAAGTTAATAACTGATTTTGATGTCTATGAAAAATGTTTCTAGAGTTTATAAAATGTCCAAGCTAAAAATGCTAATTTCTTACATTTTTAGTTTTTATTAGAAATTGATATTTTATGGGTTAAAATTTTAATATATCTAAGAATAAATTTTCAGTATTTCAGAGGGTCCTTGGAACACCTCAAAGGATTTAATATTTATGTTAAATTGAATGGGAAGCATTGTAAAATAAATGATGAAAGAAAACCTTCTAGGTTATATTGTTTGGGTAAACAGGTTGTAAATTAAACAAATAAGTTGGGGCTATGAAAAACCTAAGATGGACACATTTTCCCCATTTTTTCATCTTTTTGTTCCTTCATCCTATATAGTACATTTAAGCTGGACCTAAAAATAATTGATTGATGAGGAACTTATGATCTGGCATTATTGAAAGGGAACATCTTCAAGAAAATCTGAATAGGTAATCAATTCCTTTCACAGTGAGCTCCCAGAAAACAGGTTTTGAAGATCGTTGACTGCCACCTGGAGATTTTTGTTTTGTTTTGTTTTTTGGGGGGGTCTTTTCCTGCTATACTTTATTAGGAAGATTAAACAGAATCTATGTACAGGACACATTGGTGTTGGGGGTGAGGGGCTCTCTGGGATATCTCCAAAGAGGACCGCAGCTGGGAGAAGCTGCTGTCTTCTACTTGGTGTCTGGAGAAGGGTCCCATGCAGGGCAGGAACTGGCCAACCAAGACTACTTCCAGCCCACTATTCAATTCCTTCTTGCTTGTCTTTGATGGCCACCCAGAATCGCTCTTCCAGCAGTGAAAGCTTACTAATGAGGTCTGTGATGGCATTGGTGAAGGCCTCCTGGGGCCTATAGTCTGGTGTGGTCTGCACACAGATGATGATCTTGTGTTCCAAGGGGTTGGAAACTTTGTAGCCATCCAACAGCACCTCTGGGTCCTTCAACAGCTGTGATTTAATAATGTTTCTTAGTGTATGATCTTCTTTGTTGATGGTGAACAAACAGGCACTGGATACCTTAGTGTCCTTGTTAATGGTGATCTTCTTCTCACCTTTGAACAACAAAAACGATTGGAAGGTGGGGGGTGGGCGTTCATCCTAGCACCGCAGCCACCTCCAAAGTCTCAGCTGTCAATACCACCGCCTCCAGAGCACTGGAGATTTTGTTTACTGGAAAGGACATCAAATAAATGACAGTATCCAATCTCATTAAAAGAAACCTTATCATCTAACTGTAAATGAACATCTATCTCCTCTTGTGTCTGACACACATCTCACAACATGCACCATAGATTCCTCATTGATGGGAAACCACCATCAAGGGTAGATGTCTATGCAAGATATTGACAATATTTGTATACCTACAAATTGACTTTTAAATCAGAAACCAATTGTTTTATTGTCTTTACCTGTCTGCTAATGATATTAATTATAATGAGTTACAATTGTTCTTTGGGTTTATCTATATAGTCCAACTGTTTGATTACTGAACATATATAAAATAACTGTTAATACTGCACTGACAGGTGTGGCTCAGTTGGTTAAGCATAATCCTGCAAATAGATAGGTCACCATTTGATTCCCAGTCAGGGCTCATGCCTGGGTGGTGGGTTCAGTCCCTAGTCAGGGAGCATACGTGAGGCAACTGATTGATGCTTCTCTCTCATATCAATGTTTCTTTCCCTTTCTTTCTCCCTTGCTTTTCCTAGTTCTAAAATACAGAAATAAAATCTTTAAAAATAACTGTTAATATTCTTTCATAACCTATGTAAGTGTTATTTTAGGTGCAAAATACAGGAAAATTAGACAGACAGAAAAACTCATATCATGATAGTTCACAGGATAGAATTGAAGGTCATAAGACATGACTGCTTCCTTTTTTGGGAAAATTTGGCTTCAACTCACATCCCATGATTACGGTATTGCCCCATTCCCAATGGTCCACCATTTTAATAAGACAATACTAATACCAAGACTCCTTAGGAATGGGTCTTCTTAGTGTTGTGAGACTACACCATCTGACCAAAAGTTTGGCCATCAGTTAATTCTTTGGTTTGACTTATGACCAAAATGTGGGATTTTTGTATGAAAAAAAAAGGGTTCTAAAAAAGTAACCTCACATGGTAATCTGATCATAAATTACTAACTGGACTGGTCATGGTGGGTAGTCATGCCTGAGTAATATAACTTTTTTAGTAAAAAATTTATCTTTGTCTTAAGGAAGCCTTGTCCATTCTTCTTGTGCATCTAAATTAACACAATTTTGAAATAAGGTTAACAGCCCTCAAGAGAGCATATAATCTTTTAACTGTTCTGTAATCCAATACTTGTCTTGCTTTCTTCCACATTCATGTAATCTTATTTCTTTCCTTTTTATTTTCAATTGCAGAAAAGAAACGGAAAAACTGTCATTTCTCCAGAAGCATTTGAGATCTTTCTGGCAACGGTCATCAATTTTCACTCAAATAAACTCTTATAAATATTCTTTATGGGTTTGGACATCCTTATGTTGATGGCAGGTTTGAACATTTTTTATAACAACAATTTTAAATTTAGTTTACACTTGGCTATTTAAGGGAATAACTCATAGCAGTTTAAGGGAGAATCTCATGGAGTCCTTTTGACCCCAGGAGCAAACCATATGGAGGGCTCTCCCTTGAGGGTAGTGTCTCAATTGATTGCAAGTGAGACATTAATTTTGGGCCATGAGACACTCATTTTTGGGTGAGTGTTTTGATGATGGAGGCCTAGGAAGATGCAACAGGGGAGATCCAAGTGTTGTTTAGGTTTTTGGCCTCAGAGCTGTTGCAGCTGTAAGACCACTAACTTCATAAGCTTTTGCTTACAGTCATGTAGCCTCTTCAAAATAGAATGTCAATTCATATAGAGGATTAGTAGACTGAATATTCAGGTAAAGGAGAATAGAAAAAGTAGTATGAGTCAGTCTTACAGTCTTTTGTTTTAGGTATATCTTGTGTCTTTAATTTTTCATTAGCTTTTTGCAATCAGTCATTCAATGAAACTATTTTGGAATCTAAGACTCTTGGAGTTTTCTACATACAAATAAAAGCCCATTCTTATTTGATTCAGAAACTCTTGCTTTCATGTGCTTTCCATAAATGAACAATCTTGTCTAACTGCAACAGAGTAGGTTGGAGCAGAAGTCCCTGAAAATGGGGGAACCACACCCCTCAAAATCCTTGCATAAAGCCAGGGTACCCACAGAACAGAAAGCACAGCATTTAAGGTACAGTTCATAATAAAGGCACATAAAACAGCCCATGCTTTCCTGAAGGGAGGACCTGTGGAAGAAGGATGATGCTAAGGGCAAACAGAACATGACTGTCAGAATATGTGCTGGCAGAGTGACTCATGACATAGCTGGGGCAGAAGTTCATACAGCACCTGCATGAGCTATGGGGGCTGGATGCCCCACCTAGGACAGACAGATGCATGTGTGCCTGCATGTGGCTGGGAAACTTTTGCCCTGACTAAAGATGGCAGTTGAAAGAGGGTCAAAGACACTGGGGAGCTGATAAAAATGGTGGACACTGGCACATCATAGGAAAAGTTGGGCACTCTCACTGGCTTCCTGTGCACATGGGATTTTGGGAGGGCTTTTTAAAGAAAAGGTGTGGAAAGGGTCTCTCTCTCTCTCTCTCTCTCTCTCTCTTGCTCATACACTTGGTATGGAGAAGTCACTCTCTTGTTTTGGAGCTTGGTTCAAGCTTTCTCTCTGGGCTTTTGGCATTTGGACAGTCTGGGTCTCTGGCCATGCTCCCTGCACAGATAGGATCATTCATGGGTCCAGGAGATGCTGGGCCCACCAGAGGCTTAGACTCTGCATAGATGGGAGCCCCCTCCTATAGGCAGGGTCCCACATGGGGATGGGTGCATCACAGGGGTATGATGTCCAACATCTAGGACATCACAATGCAGCACAGCACAGCACATGGTTTTTGAACTGATACATGGAGACTGAGAGCACCCCAGATCCTGAAAAAGAAAGCTGTTGTGAGAGGATGGTGACCCTGAAACCCACAGTGCACATTCCAGAGAGGCTGAATATCTGTTTGTGTGACTGGATTAAGGACAGATAAGGAAATGGGGAAGTGCTGGGCATAGTTTTAGCTTGTAGTCTTTTGGGAGCAAGGGAAGTTCTGGGTCTTGTGGGAGAGAAGGGCTCAGAGCAGGAATGCTGTCAGTCTCCCCAACATTGGAACCCTGTTAGTAAAAACTTGTTTTCTTCAACACAAACCATTGGGTCATGTGAATTAAAGGTGCCACGTGGCTGAAACCCAGCTTGCACAGTTACATAACCAGGATATTCTTCCTTTTTCTTTTATTTTTTTCAGGAGCGGGGGGAATGTGTAATTTTATTTTATTTTATTTTTTTAAATTTATTTTATTTTATTTATATTTTTACTTTTTATTTTAATGTTAGTAGCCCCTTTCTATCATGAATAATCTTTTAGCTTAACTCACCCTATATTACAGACAGAAAAAAGTCAGTACGGATGACAGCACTGGGATATCATTACAGATGGGTAGCCTAAAGGAAAATTTCATAAAATATACATCATAGATTAGCTGTGGTAATTTCTCTCTCTCTTTGTTTTTTAGCTTTCTTTTCCTTAATTAATTAATTATTTTTATTTTTTTTGAAGTGAATATTTTTTTAATTTTTTTAAATACATTTGTCTCTGCCTTCCCCCAACCACCTTCCCCTGCCCCAACTCCCCCTCCCGCCTTCAATCCTTCCCCTTTGGTTTTGTCCATGAGACCTTGCTATATGTTCCTTGACTTTCCCCTTCCCTTCCTTTCCCCCCACTCCCCCTCCCTCCATCCCTCTTCTCTCTGTAGATTTCTTTTCCCTTCAGTGTTGCTGGTCTTATTTTCCTTGCATCTTTGTATTGTTGGTTAGGTTCCACTTATAGGTGAGATCATATGGTATTTGTCTTTAACCCCTGGCTTATTTCGCTTAGCATAATGCTTTCGAGTTCCATCCATGCTGTCGCGAAGTTTAGTAGTTCTTTTTTTCTTTCTGCTTCATAGTATTCCATTGTGTATATGTACCATGGCTTTTTGATCCAATCATCTACTGATGGGTATTTAGGTTGCTTCCAACACTTGGCTATTGTAAATTGTGCTGCTATGAACATTGGGGTGCATAGGTTCTTTTGAATTGGCATTTTGGGATTCTTAGAGTATAGTTCCAGCAGGGGAATCACTGGATCAAAACACAGTTCCATTTTCAGCTTTTTGAGGAAATTCCACACTGCTTTCCACAATGGCTGCACCAGTCTGGATTCCCACCAACAGTGGACTAGGGTTCGCTTTTCTCCACAGCCTTGCCAGCACCTGTTGTTTGTGGATCTGTTGATGATGGTCATTCTGACTGGTGTGAGGTGGTACCTCATTGCGATTTTGATCTGCATTTCTCTGATGGCTAGTGATGCTGAGCATCCTTTCAAATGTCTCTGGGCTCTCTGGGTCTCTTCCTTGGAAAAGAGCCTACCCAGGTCCTTTGCCGATTTTTTGACTGGATCGTTTGTCTTCTTGGAGTGGAGTCAAGTGTGTTCTTTATATATCTTAGAGATCAAACCTCTATCTGATGTATCATTAGCAAATATATTTTCCAATACGGTTGGCTCCATTTTCATGTTGCTGATGTTTTCTTTTGCCATGCAGAAGCTTCTTATTTTGATGAGGTCCCACTTGTTTATTCTTTCCTTTATATCCCTTGTTTTAGGAGACATATCAGTGAAAAAATTGCTGCATGGGATATCTGAGAGTTTCCTGCCAATGTTCTCCTCTAGGACTTTCATGGTGTTGTGACTTATAGTTAAGTCTTTTATCCATCTTGAGTTTGTTTTTGCGTATGGTGTCAGCAGATGATCCAATTTCAATTTTTTGCATGTAGCCATCCAGCTCTCCCAACACCATTTGTTGAAGAGGCTGTTATTGCTCCATTTTATGCTTCTGCCCCCTTTGTCAAATATTAGTCACCGATATCAACCTGGGCTTATTTCTGGGCTTTCTATTCTGTTTCACTGGTCTATGGGTCTGTTCTTGTGCCGGTACCAGATTGTTTTGAGTATAGTGGCTTTGTAGTAGAGTTTGATGTCCGGTATTGTGATCCCTCCTACTTTGCATTTCTTTCTCATTTTGCTGCAGCTACAAGGGGTCGTTTATGGTTCCATATAAATTTCTGAAATGTCTTTTATTTCTGTGAAATACGTCATTGGTATCTTAATAGGGATTGCGTTGAATCTATAAATTGCTTTGGATAGTATGGACATTTTGATGATATTAATTCTACCAATCCATGAGCACGGTATATACTTTCCTTTATTAGTCTGTTCCTTAATTTCTTTCTTCAATGTCGTATAGTTTTCTGCATACAGGTCTTTTACCTCCTTGGTTAAATTTATTCCTAGGTACTTTATTTTTCTTGTTGCTATATCGAATGGTAATTTTTTCTGATTTCTCCTTCTTCTATTTCACTGCTGGTGTACAAAAACGCCTTTAATTTCTGAATGTTGACTTTGTAGCCTGCTGTTTTGCCTAATTCACTTATTAGGTTGAGTAGTTTTCCGGTAGAGTCTACAGGGTTCTCTATGTACACTATCATGTCACTTGCAAACGATGATAGTTTTACTTCCTCTGTTCCTATTTGGATGCCTTTTATTTCTTTTTCTTGTCTGACCGCCATTGTCAGGACTTCCAATACGATGTTGAAAAGAAGTGGTGAAAGCCAACATTCTTGTTGTGTTCTGGATCTCAGTGGGAAAGCTTTCAGTGTTTGCCTGTTGAGTATGATGTTGGCTATAGGTTTTTCCTATATGGTCCTCATTACGTTGAGGAGTGCCCCATTTATTTCCATTTTGCTGAGTGTTTTGATCATAAATGGGTCTGTACCTTATTGAATACTTTTTCTACATCTATTGAGATGACCATGTGGTTTTTGTCTTGTCTTTTATTTATGTGATGTATTATGTTTATTGATTTGCATATATTGTACCATACCTGCATCCCTGGGATGAACCCCACTTGACTGTGGTGGAGAATCTTTTTAATGTATTGCTGGTTGCGGTTTCCCAATATTTTGTTGAGCATTTTAGCATATATGTTCATCAGCGAAATTGGCCTGCAGTTT